AGGGAGCATACACCCTAATTCTTTGTCTGGGGCAAAACCCGCAAGGACCACATTCCTGTGCTAATTTTAGGATCATTTTCTGCCCTCAGATCGCTGGCTAATTGTGGCATACTTCCCCAAGCCCACCCCACCCTGCCCCACCGGCCTAAAGGGTAAGATTTAAACCCCTAGACCTGAAGATGGAGCCGGAGGTGGGGTTCCACTTGGGTTCCTCTGCCTCCAGTGCCAGAGGTTCTTTTCCCCCTCTTTTGCTTATTAATGTTTCTATTAATCTTTCCATCAATAAACTCTGTCCTCTTGCTAATGCACATGGTCCATGGTTTCATTCTTTGAACTTGACACCCAACACAGAAATTCTGGCAATACTTTGTCTCCTGGTTAACGTGTGCCCTTTTGAGGGACTGGAACCTCTAACCCTGCAGAGCCCAGAGTTATAGGATGGGACGCGCAAAGTCCCTTAGAGCGATAGCAAGTGAGGATACTGTCTACTCCTTGTTTGGGGGACTCACATTCTTCCCACTGGGGACGCAACCCATATACGGCATCCTGGAGAATGGCACCTCAGCTGTACCTTTTAGATGTGCCTTCAGTATGCTGTCCCAACTCTCTCCTGGGCTGACAGTTTAATTTGTGGATCCCAAGGTCATGGTTCAGTTCTGCACTTTCTTCCATGTGAATTGGGTAGCCTGGTTAAATGCTAGATGTTGTAGGATTCCATGTCTGAGGATTGGGCATTCTAGAAGCCCCTGGATAGTGGTGCTATCTAAGGCCCTGTTTCATTTACATTAACAGGAAGACTCTGGGTCCTCGATCTGTCAAACCAACACTTTGTTGTAACAGAAACCTCTCTGTTTTTCTTCCTTTTTTTTTTTTTTTAAAGGAATCCTCCTTTACCTAAAGGGAAATTATATAACAGTTCTTTAATTAGGCTCTGCAGTACACATAGCCATAATTTTAAAAAATAGAAGCTTTTTACCTACTTTATTTTTATCTGTTGATATAGTATGTGAAAGAGTTAAGGTACAATGGCATTTATATTATGCTATCACTTGTGTCCACAAGGGGACAGAAGGAAGAATGTCTTTGTTTGCCTATAAAAGCCTAAGAATCTCTGGGTAGATGTAGAAAACAACTGATATTAGATGTCTTTTGGAAAGAACATTGAAGGGGTAAGAGTCTGGAAGGGAAGGAAATTTTTAATTATGCTTCTTTTTGTGTATTTTGGATTTTTATTATAAATTCAAAAACCAAAAAAAAATTTATTAAACATAGATAATTTGATGTTAAACGTTCAATAAGTATTCTAATCTCTTCTTAACACATATAGGATATGTGATTTGTCTTGACCATGTTAAGATTATGGATATGTCCATTTAAATATTAAGTTTTGAAAGATTTAGGAAATGTTATTAGCATTTTTGTTTTGGGGAGTGGTTGAAACCAGTTGGATTTGTTTAATAAGATATGTCTAATTATAAATCTTAAGCATGCAACCATATTAGTAGACAAATTGTTACTGGACAAAATGGTGGTCAATGAATTTATTATACATGATCTAAGCCTAAACGTGGTTTTCAACTCTTTTTTTAGGCAGTCTCACTCTGTCACCCTGGATATAGTGCCATGGCAGCATACCTCACAGCAACCTCCAACTCTTGGGCTTGAGCAATCCTCTTGCCTCAGCCTCCTAGTAGCTAGGACTATAGGTGTGCAGCATAATGCCAAGCTAGCTTTTCTGTTTTTAGTAGAGATGGGGTTTCGCTCTTGTTCAGGCTGGTCTTGAACTCCTGAGCTGAACTGATCCACTGTTTCTACCTTCTAGAGAGCTGAGATTACAGGCATGAGCCACCACACCTGGCCTCAACTCACTTTCTAAAAGGGATTGGTAAAACAGACTTTCTAAATCCTTCAGTAACTAAAAGCTGCTACCAAATAAGTGTTTCAAAGTTCCTCCATATAGGTTCCTGGGGAGAGAGCAAGAATAGGGACCATGTCCACTAGTGGCAGAGGTTTGAAAGTGGCATTCTCGGGGCAGCCAGCACCTTAGGGAATGACTAGGGCTGTATTGAAAACACTGGCCACGATGAACTTTGGCCCTGGGGAACCCTGAGAGCAGCACCCGCGGCTCACTGTGGCATGAAGAAATTGAAGTCATCTTTCTAGTCTCTTTCCTTCCTAGAACTGTGGTGCCTAGTGCCAGATTCTGGCAGAGTAGGATATCAGTGCCTGGCAGCAACCATGGCCATCAGACTAGATGCCAGGACTTTTCTTGTTCTCTTAAGTGTGGAAGTTAGAACTGAAAATTATTTTTTTAACTGTGTAATTACCAAGGATTCTTAGATGAACCAGGGGAGGGAAGGAGCTCCATGAGGATGATGTTACACTTCCTGCCAATCTTGTATGATGGGCTTGAGCCAGCTGTTTAATGTGGAAAAATAAAAGAAGTATAACAATGAGAGCAGTTTTTATCAGTTTTGTGAAGTCACTCACTCCTAGCTATTATAGGTGTGAATTTGAAGTCATTCACGTTTAATTAAGATGGCCAAACATAATCACAGGAAAGCAAGTCATAGAAATGCTAGTAATTATAAAAACTGAAACATAATTAATTACATTCCCTTCAGCTTCTGATCACAATTTTAGAAGTTTTTTATTGTAAGGCTACTGTCGATGAAATTCCAGCCTAAAGCTCCCTGAGACACACGGTGCGGTTGCTTCTATTACCTGTTGCAGTGAAGGAGAATACACACCAGGGGGAACTGTGGAGCATTTCAGTAAGAAATGGTCGGCCTCCTTCTGGAGCTTGCACTTTTGTCCTTTCCAGGAAGTTTTCTGCTGCTGCAAAGGGCTTATCTTCCCTCACCCTCCTGCCCACTTTGAGAGCCAGAGGAACTCCTAGTCACTCATCCTGGACCACAGCTTTCCTTTCTTTGATCCTTTTTCTTGAGGGAGTGTTTTAGAGAGAAATTCATTGAAGTAGATGGAGACCTATTAAGTCTAGTTTATTCATTTCACTCTCTAGTTCAGACTGCTTTTCAGGGCAGTAGTTCTAGATTTAGGTGAAGAACTGATGGGGCAACTTAGGTCAAAAGGCTGTTAGAAGTAAATGCAGAATAAGAAGAGAATTTAATTATGCATCAACGTGTCTTGTATAGTGAGCTTGTGAGCTTGTCAAAATCTGATCAAAAGGTTGTTTATACTACCATCCAGAGCAAAGGAATATTACGGACAAAGAAATGGGAGAGATCAGTCCTTTGTGGAAGATTCAGAAAAGTCTGAAAGAAGAGATGTTTTTAAAATGAGCAGGACTTGGCTTGGCGCCTGTGGCTCAAGTGGCTAGGGCGCCAGCCACATACACCTAAGGTGGCGGGTTTGAATCCAGCCTGGGCCCACCAAACAACAATGATGGCTGCAACC